TGCCTCGGGGGACCCTCCCTGCAGGGGTGGGTGCTAAAGGGCACCCTTCTTCCGCGAACTGGCAGAGTGGAGCGTCACGGAAACTGAAAAGTCAGGTCGGTGAGGCTGTACAGCTCAGAGGCCTGCAGCCTGAGCGGTTTCCTGAAGAGCCATGTAGCCTTCTTTGCTCAGACCCTAACTGGAAAGCGAGCGGAATCAGTTCTGCTCTTCTGCTGAAGTTAGTGGGAGAAAGACAAGCGGGAGAGAAGAGTTAGGGGGACTGTGGTGAATAAAGGAGCTTAAACTTGCTGAGATCGTGTGTGTGTTTGTTTCCTGCCCATGAGGAATGTGTGATTGTTTCTTTTTAGATGGCCTCAAAGGCCTGTGCTGACATTTAGCTTAGAGGGCTTAACACCTACATATGATCGTCTTTTAATGTGTATTTTAATATCGAATATAGCCATTTTGCCTACAAGTCTCAATTTCATGGACTACAGTATAGAAGCAGTGATGACTAATCCAAAGATGCTATAACTTTAGTAAGAACAGTGACAGGCCATATGGAAATCATGGATCAAAAGTATAAATTGTGGTAGAGGAGAGACCTCCTCAGAATAAAAAAACATCTGTGCCAGAGTAGCATGGTCAAATTACTTGACCAAAAGTGCCTTTCACGGGGATTCATTTTAAGCTTATCCTGGAAAGCATTTGAAATAAAAGGCACCCAAATCTCAAATTGTGTGCAGGTTAAAGCATTGTGTGTTTCAGCTTGATGCATTTGAGAATTTGCCTGTGATAAAAATAACACAATATAAAGGCTTGCTTTAGTTACGTACTGTGGTTTTCATCCAAGTAAGACAACAAAACCAACATAGACTCTATATACAACTGTTTTTTCAAATTAAGCATGTATTGCATCTGAAGCGTCTGCCTACAAGAAATGTGGAAGTGGACTCTAAAGTTATGGTCATTTTTTAATTTGTTTTAGAAGTGAGGAAGTCATAATATTGAAGTTGACATTGCCTGATTACTCACCTCATTTTGCAATGTATATTTTTCCCTATATATATATATATCTGCATGTGTGTGTGGTGCCATTTAGTGTCATGTTCTGTTGTAGACATATAAATGACATATGATGCTTTGTCTTTGTGTTGGTAAGTAAATTCTTTCATTTGTGTATGCAGTGGAGATTGTTTGATAATTCTCAGCAGCAGAAAATTCCTGTAGAGGAACACCAGAAACTCTGTGATGTGTAACAAAAAATATCTTCAGGTGTTGTGGTATTAGAAATCTTGAGATAGCAGTTCGATGTAGGTGGAAGTATTTTTCTTCTGTTGACTTCCTACTGTTGAGGGGCTAGACTTGTGAAGACTCTCTGGGGACAGTAGAAGCGTGTTAGAGCAAGGTGTAGGGAGATCACCGCAGTGCTTTATGCGATTCCTAACAACACTGGCGTTTATTTTTACGGTAGCGATGCCACCATAGCATTGGCATATAGGTAATTGCTCCTTTTCAGAGGTAGTCTAAAGTTTTAAATATATCTGAAGTGTTTTGAAGGTAAAACAAAATCTTTATTAATTGTTAATAGGCCTTTTTTCTTGCATTTCAGTCTGAAAACTGGATTCTTAAAATGGAAACCAGATTATGACAGTGCAGCTACTGAATATGGGAAAGCAGGTATGTATGGCTGTAAATATGGCTGTATACTTCATGGTTTCAAAGTATTGTTTAAGCTTAATCCCTGATAACATTTTACATATTTTAGTACATTACTGTGTAAGTAAAACTGTTGTGAAGACAAAGTAAGATGAAACAACAAAAAAAATGCTCTTAGTAGCACTGTAAAATAAATTTCAGATTCTACCTGGAGATCTAGAACAGTTGTCAAAACAATTCTTTTTTTTTTTTTTTTCAAGCTTACAACTTCTACTTTGTATATTACTGCAAGTGACAAAAGTAAAACTTTCCTCCTTTCCCTTGTCCACCCCCAAATCCTATGACTTTACCTACAAAACAACAATTGGAGCTAGTTTTAAAACTTTGCTTTTTCGTCATTGTACAAAGTATGTTCTGACAAAGACTATCTCAGTAAGGTAGAGGGATACTGCCAGGTTGTGGTTTTTTTAGGCATAGTGAGATCTCTTTCCTCCTTGTTTTCTGCTGTAAGTATCGCACTGAATATAAAATTCTTACTAGTTGATTCCTTTTTGCTCTTAAACAATTTTCTTCTTTTTGCTAATAGTAATTTATGGTGACTTTTTTTTTTTACTTCTTACTCTAGGCATTCCTAATCATTCATTTAAACCTGAATAAAAAACCCACAAACTTGGAAAAGCAACTGTAGCATTTATAAATTGAAATTAATTTTAAATCCTACTTTAATATCCTATCAGTCTAATGGAGATAGAAATACATATTTGTGCCCTGAGGTGGTTGTGTTGCGGAAGTTGTTATAGGCATGCTTTGTTGATGGTACGCTTCTATTCTGCCATACTGATTTTGTATAACCTCTAATGTTTAAATTTTTTTTCTGCAGTTTTGTAGTTAAAATACAGAATGAGTGAGTTCCAAAATCCAGCTAAACACATTATGCACAATCTGTGGTATAGTGATGGTATGGAAGTGTTTTTGACAATAAATGTTTTTAATGGTAACTGCTTAATGAAGCAAGGACTGTCATGGGATTTTTTTGGAAGAGCTTGGTAAACTGTAACCATTGATTTAACAAGTCTGTTTGCATCTTTAGATGGCCAAATTCTTGAGCTGAATTGGTGAAAAAGGAAAATGGCAAGCCATAAATAAAAACTTTATTTGATTTCTTGCAGCGGTTGCTTTTAAGAATGCCAAGCAGTTTGACCAGGCAAGGGAAGCCTGTTTACGGGAAGCTGAAGCACATGAAAACAATAAAGCGTATCTTTCCATTGATTGTTATTCTTTTTTCCAAGAAGCTGACTAGTTGCTACTTAGAATGGGGCAGTGGGCGTTGGTAGAAGATGTATTTAATATATTTGCACATTTTATCAGTCTAACAAAATTGTCTTTTGAAAGACTATTCCTGTGTGCTCTGAGTGGGAAAACTAAAGAAATCTTTTGGTTAGAAAATCTGTGTTGTTTCCAGTAACATCTGGAGTGGTGAGATGCTGACCAGTGCCTGAGATGTCTAGTTACTGCTTCAGAATTTTTTTTTAAATACCTACAAATGAATAGTATAAACTAAATGCAACTCTGACACTATTACAATACTTGTAGTAGTATTTAGTAACCAGGAGCATATTTTAAATAAATATGTGCTTTTTACAACTTTACGTGCAGTTATACTTCGGTATGTTGCATTTATTCTGTCCTCAGAAGTGTTTATTTTTGGCACCTTGTCTACAAATGTAGTAGGTTCACTTGGTGTTAATGGGATTCCTTACTTTGAAACTAGTACTTGTACAAGATTTTGTACACTAATAACTTTTCTGCATTATGTTTTTGTGGCTTTTGTCCTTGACCATGTTACTTCCAGTCTCTTCCATGCTGCCAAGTAAGTACAGAAGCACTGAGTAATCTGAAACAAATTTTCTAACATATGGTACAAACATGAACTATCATTTTAATCGCACTGTAGTAAATGGTATGGTTCAAGTGATTTTTGCTGTTTCAAAATCAGTTTAATGGAAGTATTGGCTAGGAAAGTCTGAAAACCTTCAATGGCCATCTGAAGAAATGATGATTTTGACATTCTTTAGCAGCTTTTGATATCAAATATTTTTTCTTAGATGAACTTTTTGTAATTTTGAAATTCTACACTGAGCTTGTAAAGAAATTTTTAGTTAAAGACTACTTCAAAGCAAGCAGATAATCCAAATATTGCTTGTGGGGTAAGATCATGAGACTAGATTTTTGGTGGGAAGTGCGGTTGAAGTGCTTCATTTGTGGAAGATAACGTTACACATGCACTATCTTATTAAATAAAACACTTGAAACATCTTCAAAGCCTTAAACATTAACAGTGATGCATGTTATGCATGTTAACTCCTGCTGCGTAACTACAGCTTACTGAAATACACCTTGTAAAATTTTTCTCTGCAGAGCTTATGAACAAGCTGGCATGATGCTAAAGGTATTTTCATTTACTAGTTTTTATTAGAAAGTTCTGTCTTATAGTGAAGAATATTGTACACTGCACCCTTTTACAAATATATGTAAGTGAATTGTGTATTAAAGTGATATTTTTCTGTTGACTCACAGTCCCCACCAATACTCTTAGTAGGTTAGGGAAGTGGCATTGTAATTGAAGGGGGCAGAGGGGGGGATGGTTTTCCTTTTGTAGAAGGAAAGGAGGGGGCCTCATGTCGGAGGGTAACAGGAGTGGTGCTGCTTCTGCTCCAAACTACCACAAACTCATGCCTTACATGAAAGTTTGGTACTTACAAGTGAATTTTATGGAGTTGGTGGTCAGCTTTCACTAACTCTACAAATTTGTACATAAAAATTAAAATCTTAATAAATAAGGTATTACAGTTTGCCTTGATTTGTTTCATCGTACATGAACACAATTCCTGACAGCAGCATCCCTCTGACTATTGCTTTGCAGGAGATGCAGAGACTCCCTGAAGCAGTTCAGCTGATTGAGAAAGCCAGTATGATGTACCTGGAGAATGGGACACCAGATACAGCAGCTATTGCGCTCGAACGGGCTGGAAAGTAAGTCTGTGGTATTGGTGGCTAGAATGCGTGCAGGGCATGAGTATGTCTTTGGTTTTCTTTCTTGTCTTTTTGATGCTTGTAGGTAAAAAATACTTTCATCTGAAGAGAAATGATTTATGTTTATTTCAGGCTAATAGAAAATGTGAGCCCAGAGAAGGCTGTGCAGCTCTATCAGCAAGCAGCATCA